ACCGTTCGGTAAACACAAGACCCTGGAAATGCGACACACGTGCTCAATGGCATCAAGAATAAATACAAGATCCATCACAGTCTCGTTGGCGTCGTGGTAGGCGCTTAGCTGGTCATCAAAAAAAATGGAGAGAGCGTTCATATCACTGATTTGGCGGTAGGATCGCTCCCTTTCCGACATGAAATCCCCAAATATAAGTCTGCCCTCGGGAACCAACGATGTGTACCCACCCTCGTAGCCCAACTGCGTGAGTTCATCATTAAGGAAGGAAATAAACTGTTGCCTGTCCTCTGCGCAGATAAGTCGATCGTAAAAAACACGCTGCATCTCGTGCATCCATTGTTTCACCAGCACCTCTTCGTTCGGCAAACTATTCCCGTCATTTTCAAAAATCATGGGAAAAACCCGCATCACATCACGCATGTTGAAGGAATAATGAACATGGGAAGGCGTCGGCAGGAACGTTTTGCAACAACGCCGAAATATACTCAGCGTCCCCTCAACAAGCTTTGAGGAAAGATCAATGACCTCACTCTTCACACCACGTTGACTAAGACCCCCTTTAAGAATGGTGTTCAAAATGGTGCGCTTTGACACCTCTGACATCTCGGGAAACGACACATAGTTAAGGTAGCGCATGAGACGGTTTGAGACTTGTGTACGGCTGCCACCAGGAGGCCCCATCGCCATGACAAATGACGTGTCAATGATGGCATTCCATCGGATTCCACCTGTAAAGTTGTAGAAACCCCCATGGCCCAACAATTGACGCAGCAGCTCCAATGGCGGCTGGGCACCATAACGCTCCTTTTGAGGTAAATTCGCGTCATCAATGAATACAACAAAGTGTTTACCAATGGGAGCACCAAACACATGTGAGCGACGCTTGTCAAACTTGGACATGAGGGAGTTCTGCAGCACGCCAGCCTTTGTCTGTGGAGAGAAAGTAAAGGTGAGGCCAAGAAACCGGTCGGGTAACCCACCAAGTACAAGATCACTCACAGAGACCGTCTTCCCTGTACCCGTCGGGCCAACAGCTACCACATTCACCTTTTGTGTTAACAAGTGCTGCAGCACATATTTTTGGCGTGTGTTGTCAATCGTGGGCACCATAACGTCCTCAAATTTTGTCATCCGACCAATCTCGCAGGTATCACAGAGATCATCCCAGTGCACCCAACGTGGTTGCTCCTCATCCTCCGGTACGGCGGAGTAAACAAAGCAGTAATCATAGACCAGGCCTTCGGCGGGTAAAGAATCGGCGTGATTGTTCCCTTGAGCCACGGTGCGCAGCATGTCGCTAAATTTCTCCCGACTTCCCTCGTCACACGTGGCACCAAGACTCCATATGACAGACATGAAAAACAATGGGGTGATGCATTTTTCAAGTATCTCCGCACGCTCTGGGCTCATTACGGGTTGTCCAGGCTGCGGTTTGGGCACGGCAAAGGATTGGATGTAGCCGTCCATCACACGGAAGAAGGAGTGAACAAGACCAATGTTTGTTGACGGCACGTATTCTTTTAGATTGGCCCGAATAAACTCGACAAGTTTATCCAAGTATGTATTCGCCAGTTCCGCAAGGTATTCATTTTTGGAGACCATAAATGCTGGAAGGGACGCCTTCCATGTCGCAGCAATGGCACTAGTGGGAACACACGCCGTGGGGTCCATGTAAATCATACCGCAACGTGAGACGGTGGCGGGAGACGCGACGAGAAGGTCCTCCACCTCAAACATCATCGTCATGTCTCGACTCATCTGAATAATTTCCCCCGAGACAAGGCAGAGCTTCTTGTTTTCGTCCAAGACGGTGTTCATAGACTCGATCCAGAGGGCATCAACAGGGCCGTCAAACATAACCCAATGTTTACCCAATTGATTCCCTTCATCACCGTACTTTGCGGCACGGCGGAAGAGAACGCAAAGTACACCATCCCTCCACTCCCCATTCTCGTCATACACTCCATATAACTGATCCATCGTGACAGCTTTAGGGTTACAGATATGGGTGTAGACCTTCATATATTCTCTCGAGCCCAAATCATTCCGCTTACTCTGCATGACCGCACACTCCGACAGAGCCTTTTGTAATGAGGTGTATGCCATCGTCTTTCCACTTCCAGCGGGACCCACTAACATCAATCCATGACGCAGCGTTGTGATATCGTAAAGCTGTAAACACTTACTAATGAAAGTTGGTACGGGTTGCAGTTTATCAGCCGTGACAACTTGACGAAGTACATCCACAACCATTCCATAATCTGTAGATGGAACTTTTGTACCGGGAAACAGATCACTAATAATTCCCTCAAAGAGTACAATATCATCTATGAGAAACTTGGGCACATTGGAGTCACGCAATGCCCGAAGCAACAATAAATCTTCGTCCTCATTTGGATTTTCTCGCTTGTTTAACCCCGCAGCTGAGATGACAGTATTCACGGCACGCATACCAAAGTCATAGTGATCCTGCGAGGAAAGCTGTTCCGAGCTTAGCTTAAATGTCATCACCATCTTCTGTGCGAGACTCCGAGCCTTCTTGTAACCGTATGAAAACAGACGAATCTCACCAATAAGAGCGTAATCTGGCACCATGCACGCCACAGGGCGGAAAAGAACTTTCAAGTTATCCGGCAACTCCGTACGTCCCGCGTAGCCAGGGTTCATCGTGATGAAGACGGCATGCGTGGGATCCACAACCACCTCACTCTCCTCAAATATAATGCGGTACTGCTTCGTCAAGCAGGCCTGTTGAAGATCTGTCACTTGCTGAGCCACAACAGAGAGCACCTCCACATCAATACGGTTAAACTCATCAAAGCAGGCCCACGCGCCAGCCCATGCAAGGCCCTTGAAGAACTTTGCCATCGAGTTACACGTCATACCCTCTTGACAGTTAAATACAACGCACTGTTTTGCAAGAGCCTTGGCCAAGTCTTTTGTTGTCTCCGTCTTACCAGTGCCCGCGGGTCCTGCAGGGGCCCCACCGAGACAAAGCGCCAATGCCCCTGTGAGGGTTAAATAAATGCGATCCGTAAGTGGGGTTACGACAAGGCGGCCTGTATTGCCAAGATATTCTCCACCATACACAAAATGAGCGTCCACCTGCTTGACGTGACACAACTCATCGTCTGGATCAAAGTAAAAACGCAATTGTTTGATCCAATCAAATGAGTGAATGGAACTGACTTCGTTGCGTTTCATCAACTCCACGGTGTCCTTTGCATGCACTTCCACGGTGATGAGAGCTCCCATATTGATTCTCTCTCGTGGTTTAAGCGGTGACTGTATGATGTCCACAAGTTCATCTAACTGAGATTCAAGCAGACGAAAAAATTTCTTAACGCTTCCCTGAACATTCAACCCTTCCTCGCAGCCGTTGGTCCAAAATATCTGCGACACAGCAATGACACACTGCGCAGGCCAGCGCAAAACCCATCGACTTCGCGGTGTCTTGGTATGGTCATAAAATGCCTGCCGCAGCTGGTCATGCACCGCGCTTTTCATCATCTTTTCCACCGACTGCAACCACATCTCCACATTTCCCTCCGGCACGACGGGCCGCACACTTGGTAGGTGTTCCCCCTCTGCGCTAAAAAAGCCACTTATTTGAGTCTTCTCGTTCCACGCCAAGCGGCTAATAAACTCAAACAGTTTACTGATGTGTGCATCAATACGCTTCACCTCCTTGGATTGCGAGAGGATCTCCAGCAGCTCCTCATCAGACAGAAAGTAAAACCGTGGAAAGGTTTGCCGCTTCTCGGCCAAATAATCATTGAGGCCGTGTTGAACCTCCTCTAGGATGCGATTTGACTCACGAAGACTCTCAAGAAGTTTGCTCGTCCCAATGCAAAACTCCAAAACATTTGGTTGGTGATTCACAGTTCCCATAATTCGGCGCCATGTCTTATCCACGCGCTCAAACAATCTAGACAGACGTGGCAACTGCAGTGCGATATCCTCGGAGCTGAAGATGGGCTCTAGATAGCGCCACGAGCGTTGACATTCTAGCCATTGCTCAACAATATCAGAAATGAGATTTAAGGATCGTTCCCAGTCTGTTATTGACTCCTCATAGAATGCCTTAAAAGGAGAAAATTGTAACTGCTGCGTCAAATTCAGGTGCTCATCCAATAACTCCACAATTTCGGAGGCGTCCTTGACAATAAACGTACCGGTGTTTTTGTATGACTCAATAAGAAACATTCTTGTCTCCCACTTGGCACGCATTTCTTTAAGACACTTCTCAATCTGTGCCTCCTTTGCAGCAACCTCGCAGTGGGCAACAATGACATCCTTGTGGTTCAGTAGTGGTTCAATGTCATCAAGCAGTATGATGGTCTCACCCGGTACAAGATTCATATTCAGCTTCTCCGAAAGACCCTTCCAATGTCTCTCCTTCATGCCATGCTGACGCAATGACGTCACCACAGGTACCCACGGCTTAAACTCCTCCACCCTCGAGCGTATTTCCTCCACAATTTTCAGCGTGGCATTTTTATCCTTAAATGTCTTTGAAAGTTGCGTCATCGTTTTAAAGGCATTCGCCACCACACTCTCAATCTCGTCGGGATCCAGTGAGTCGAACGGATCTGCGTGCCAGCGACGATAGCAGTCCTGCCATTGGTATGTCGTCAACCACAAGTCGCTGTATGGCTTGAATTCTTTTTCCAAATCAAAGACATTGCGGTAATCTGTCAGCTTATCACCAAAGAGCCGTTGATCGCTGTTGATGGAGCGGGCCTCCTCAATACACTTTCGGATTTCAATGCTATTCACCTTCACCTCTGCCGCCACCTTCTCAGCCTCGGAGGCATCCGTGTACTTTGAGAAGGTCGCCACAACACGCTGCAATGCATCCACCTTTTTGCTGAAATCCTCACTATACTTCTGAAGCCGTGCGTGTAGCTCCTCTTCCACCTTCTCAAGCTGCTTATTGACCTCCTGTACACGAAGACTCAGCTGCCGTGGCCACGCAATCGCCTCCCATTTTTGCCGCGATTCATCATCACTCAACTCATACTGAAACCCGTCGAGAATATTGTAATACTGCCGCATGTCCTCAATGTCGACGGATAACTCGGAGATACGCTCCGGTAAATTCAAAATAAAATTCTTAAGCTCATACAATTTCTCGGGGTTTTGCGGCTGTTTTTCCACGGTACGCACAATTTTCGTAAATTCTTCCCGAATATATGTGGTCCTGGCTTTGGCCATCTTGCAGATGAGGTCCATGACGAGCTTCGCGAGTTCCTGTTCCTTATTTGCCATAATTTGCCCAAATGAGTGACAGTCGACCACGTAGTTGCCAACTGTGATGTACGCTGGAAGTTTCTGTGCCACAACCTTTTTTGCCTTTAAATGTTGCCGTATTTCCTCCTTCATTTCATCCGTTGTGTGCCCCTGTTGCTCATAGGACGTGATAAACTCCTTCTTATCAAGCCGTATAAGTGGAAGAAGATCATCGTACACTTGTAAATAATCCCGCAGGGGTTGCATGGAGTTTCGCAGTGCGTCCCGCACACGATTTCGCAGCAGAACAACACGTTCCTCTTCCTGCTTCACGGAGTCCAAAAATGGCCCTTCCCCCTCACGCCGCCAAAAGTACTGTGACATGACAAACTTCTCCACCTGTGGAATTGCGTCGGTGCAGTAAATCGCATCATTGAAGAGTTGAATAATGGTCTGCTCAAAGTCCTCAAAGGAGATGGAGTATGTGAAACTCCCATCCCGCTCGGCGAGGTCAATCATAAAAAGTGGCTGCTTCTCCACACAGTCATCGGCGTCACTTCCGGGCCATTTGTTCTCCACATGATTCATGTCAATGACATTCACAGTGAACTCCGAAACCTCCTCAAAAAAAACGGTAAAGTCCTGTAAGGAGGTGTAAACAAGCGCGAACAAAGTGTCCTCCATCATAAACTTGACAGTCGTAAAAAACTTTTTTAGTTTGGACATCTCATAGATTTCCTGCTTCGACTCATGGACATTCAACCATCCCTTACCGGCGGATGTGAAACTTTTCCTGATCACATCACAAATGTTTTCTGTCCACTCCCCTTTGAGGTACTTCGCCATGGAAGACATGTGATCCTCTTGTAACTGTTGAAACTTCGCCAGCTGCATTTGGCGGGCCTTTGGAAGATTAAAGAGACTGCCCTCGAGAACTTTTATACATTCACTCCGCACCCCTGTCAATGCCGTCACAACCTCAGGCTGCGTGTAATACGTTGAAAACGTGAAGGACCGCTCGCGCTCCTCAAAATCAAAGTTTCCAATTGGAATCACAGAATCCCCCTTCCCCTTGTCAGTCCGCTGAATCGCCATATTCGGTCCTCGCACCAACTCCTCTAGGCTCATCTGCGTTGCATTCGCCACCGTACGCAGCAGTACCTCATCACGCTCCATGCGATCCTGCAGAAGAATCCGGTTATGGCTACGCTTCCACGCAAGTGTGAACTCCGCAATTAGTCGCTCCGCCCGCTCCTCAACGTCTGGAAAGACCGCCTTGCTTAGATGTGGCATTCCGGTACCAAGGTGTCGCAAACGCGCACCAAGGCCGCTATCCAGCCCACTCAACCCCTCTAGTGGCATGGCGTCACAGCACAGACGATACCGAATCCACGCCATCGCCTTTTCCCGCTGCTGCTGTGCACTGACCAGACGCTTAACGTAGACAATGGGATCCTCCGCAAGCAGACGAACAAAGAAACGCGGCACAACATCTGGCGTCTCGCCTGGCACGGGGGTCGGGCCCCATAGAACTTTCAGCTCGTTTTTAGCCGCATCCCAGGCAATGACGCGACACGGCCGCATACGAAAATCTTCATTTATAAATTCATATATCCCTTCCGCGGGCAAATAACGACCGTTTTCATTTTCATTCTGGCCCGCAATTTCCATCCACTCGGAAGGATTGCGACAATCATATGAGGTGTCGTCAAAAACCTCCAACGGAAGCTCCTGGCTGTCCTTCTTTGCGAGCTGTTTCAAAGTCAGCCCAGCCACCTCCACAAGCTCCTGAACATCGTGGAACTCATATTGCCTACGTCGTCGCTCAATTTCAATCTTGCGTGGAATGCGGCCACGTTGGTAAGTAAAGGGCACCTGCACTTTGGGTTCAAAGGCTGCCTTGTGTGCATCGGGGAATAGAATGGCCGACTTATTGTATGTCGCACTTATGCCAATAAGTGAGCGGGGTGAGGTAGGATCCCGCCTCTCGGTTGCCTGCTGGTTATCCCGCACAGGGGACATGGCGCCCTTTCGCGAGAGTGTCTCCTCTGAGCGCGTTAGCGAGAACGCCGACAAAGTGGCCTCGCCCTGCGCATTCGTTAGAGAAAACTTCCGATCCGGACGAAGGTGGTGTTCAAGCATCCGCGGTGCCCTGCCTCTGTCTAGGAGGAAAAACGTGACACAATCTTCCAAAAAAAAAAAAAAAAAATAGAACGCAGAGAAAAGATTCTGGAAGGAACACAGAAACACACACACAGACACACGCAAATGTATACAAGCGTCAAAAGTATGTGTGAAGCACAGGGAGGAAGAAAGGATGAGTGGCCACTGCAACGCCAAAAAACAAAAAACAAAAAAAAAAAATATTTAACAAAACAAAACAAGAAAAGACATCGTTAGCAATCATAATAAAAGCAACATACACACGCCAAATAATAATAATAATAATAATAATAATAAATCATTATTTTTTTTCCTTACTTCTTCCGCAGGCCTGGTGACAAAACACACACAAAGAGTCCATTCAGTGGCTCGCACTCCTCTTATCCATTTTCCATAGAAATGACTATAAAAAAAAGAAAGATGACGACCACACACCTACCACAGAGCCTGTAAGGCAAGCAACAGTCGAAAAATCACCAAGAAACCCAAAAAGCCAGTGGGTATATCTCACACGCAAACACAAACACACACACACACGTAAACACAAACACACCTCGTTTCTCCATATCCGATTTTTTCCATTCTTAGGGTATGCGTATATTCGTTAGTGGAACTGATAGACATCTCTTCTTTCTTTTTCTTTTTTTTTTCCTTTTTCTTATTCTTCCGTACGACTGTTATCCTTTTACCTCTCATTGTTTTTCTTTTTATTTTTTCCCCCTCCCCCACATCCATTTCCACCTTTCGTACCATGTGGGTCTCACAACCTAAGCAACCCCCTTCTTATTGCTGTTATGTATGCATGTGTGTGTTCGCATCGGGTCCTCTCGTTCTAGCCGCCAATGAACTCCATGAATGCTACGGCCTCCGAATACAGTTCCCTGTCAGGGTCCTCCTCGCGCACTATGGCCTTCAGTGCAGCCAAGAGCCACTCCGAAAGCTTCTGCACGTGCCGCTTACGGACGCGCTCCCAAATGTAACGCAAAGCGCGAAGAACATAAAGCACTGCGGTGGGGTTGTCACGTGTGTTGGAGATAATTTCCCGCACAAGGGTTAAACTCTCCGTCGTCATGAGATCTTGCTGCGCTGCTGGAGACAGTTGAACAAAGTGATAAACGCATGCAGCGGCATTTCCAGCAGCTGAACGCACCGGTGAGTCGCAGAGGGGCAACCACAATGTTTCCATGCCGTGCTGGGGAAGAAGAAGGAGGCACTGCTGCGCCATGCGAGAGCTCGTGTTGTTCACAGCGTGCTTTAAGAAAAAGACAGAGAGCTCACAACATGGCTCCAAGAGGTGATCGAGCTCCTTCGCCACGGCCATCGTCAACGTCTTTAAAAGAACCGCCGTGAAAAACTCTTGTGCTGCCAAATAATCCATGATCTCCGCCGCCCGCTCCGTTTGCAATGCAAGTAGCAACAGCAGCTGCAGCGGCACGGAAAGATCGCTTTGCTTCGACCGCAGCATGTATTGCACCAAATCACCCACCAACTCCACTGTGGCAATGTTGGCAAACGCCTTGGACCTCCGCTCGCCGCAAGTTGCAAGCAAACGTAGGGCGAGAATGGGAATGGGTTCGCTTTCCTTCAGTAACTCGGGGAGAGAGGCGGCAACAGTCTGCATCAAATGATCCAACTTCTCCGCTTCCGCAATCCTCTCCTCGCGCACAAGACCCGACCCGTCAACAAGCGGTGCAACAAATGCACTTAGAGTCCGCAGAGCCGAAAAGCGACGTTCAATGTTTGACCCCCCAAGCATGTGTATATACAGCGGAAACAGCTCGTTCACCACAGCACGGCGGTGTTTCAAAACACGTTCACTGTTCTGTGTGAGAAGTCCCACCACCCTGTTAAATTCCTCTTCATATGTGACATAAACTGGCGAAGACATCACCTTCTCCAGACATGTACCCAGGCTAACAAAGACACTATCACTTAGCTCCACCATCATGCCAAGATTCCGAGCACTCAAGACGTTGCATACCGCATCCAAAATGGTGGAGGTAGTACCAGATGGTGCCCCCTTCGCGACTGCCACTAACTGTGCCTCTAAAAATACACCCAAGTAACTCGCCAAACAGGCTGCACATCGCTGTACATATGAGTCTTTGTCCCGCAGAACACCATCAATGCAACCAATGAGTTTATTCGATGACAGTCGCAACAGCAATTTCCCATCCATGCATCCCAGTAGAACAATTAGCAACAACATCTTACCTTTAATGGCGACAGATGCACGTTCGCAGACCCCACAAAGCCCACTAACAACCGCCTCCGCAACGCCACTAATGCTCTCTATGATTTTTTTCCCCTTTTCTTGCGCAAGACTGGAGCTGGAAAAGATATTTATCGTGTCCTTTCCCCACCGTTCCATAATGGGGTTCCGTATTGCCACTAGACTCTTCACAAGTGCCATGTTCAAAAATGTCAGTAATGACTGTGCTGTTTTTGGCGCCGTTACTTCTGCGATTACCTCACCATAATACTTCACCTTGAGGTGTGGCGACTCCATAACTACCGGCATAAGATCCTCCTTAATTATAGCCAACTTCAGTGCCGCGCACGCCGCACTTGATCGCATGTGTTCGCTGCGGATCGATGCGGGTGGAAGCGCATAAACAGTCAGCAGTGCAGTCACTACCTCCTTTTTTGCAAAGACATCGAGGGCGACGCCATGATCACTCACCGACGCCAAATTTTCAATTGCCTTCACAGCGTAGTGCCTCAACACATCATCCGCATCTTTCAACACTGAAAGATATAATTGAAGAGTGGCGTTAGCATTTATTCCCCACACATTCCGGTCACGTTCCCGTTGGACCGCAATGTAAATGAGCAGCTCCCCCAGACATGCTGTAAGCTTACGCTTCACCCGTGGACTATCCTCCTCGCCGTACACCTCAATGATGGAGGAGAAAATATTCGCCTTGGCAAGATCGGTATGAATAAAAGTAGCATGGCGCACAAGGATGCTCATAATAGAGGCAGCCGTGGCCCGATAGTTCGACGGCGCATTCCGCTGTGAAACCATCTTGAGACAAAGCATCATGATTGAACTATTCACAATGAAATTCGCAATCGCTGCATCCGTGCAGACATCCTCAAAATAGCAGAGAACATTTAATTTCTCCTCATGACTTAGCGAAGAGGAAGAAAGCGTTCGGTAAATCATTTTGATAAAGTCGGACTGCTGTTGTTCTGTAAACGTCTTTATTTCAGCCTTTGCGGGAGGTTCAAATCCCATCTTCTCTGAATCATATTTTTGCTCAACAAACCGCTCGATGCGACTATTCATTACAAGAGGACGAATATGCGCGTCTGACGTGTGCGCCATTAACTCATCCAAGTGTAAGTTCTCCAACCCATTCATCACGATCGACACCTCCGCATTGCTGACGGCGTTGATGGTGGCGTTTTGGTCACAGTTGGCCGCCGTGTGGCTGTCGTTCGCCGTTTCACCGCGGAAAGACTCTTTTTTGCGTAGAAACTGAGAGTTTGTGGCATCTAAAGCAGCGCCTGTTGGCCCCGCCCTCAGTCTTCGTCCGTCTTTCTGGCCATCCACACGAGATGCAGCGACACCACCCTCTGTCGTTGCGTCAGTGACTGCACTGTGATCCTGTAAGTCTATTTCCTCCGTTACTGCGGGACATTTGGAAGGCCCTCCTTCGCTGGCGGATTGGGAAACCGTGTAATTGCGCTTTGCACTCTCTACTGCCCATTCCACGTGTCTCCTCAGCTCCTCTCCAGACATGGGCCAGTCACCACTGGCCCACGCGACAGCCATCCTTTGTCTCCTCTCAAAGGCAGGCTGGGGAGGAAAAGGAGCAGTGGGAAGTTGTAACCTTCCCTGCCAGAAATCGTGTGTCACAATATCACCCCATGTCGCACGTCGTATTGGATCTTTTACCAGAAGAGACTCCAACAAGCTATTGAGTTCATCTGACAGAGCCTCATGAGGACAAAATGGCTCCGACATGATGTTTCTAATAAGTGACGCAAGGTCTGAGCCGTTAAACGGCGGTTTACCGGTGCCAAACTCATACAAGAGGCAACCCAAAGACCAAAGGTCAGAGGCTATGGATGGCATGCCATCTTTTGTAAATAGTTCCGGCGCCATGTAAAGCGGAGTGCCCACAGTTCCAGCGCCACGTATGGTGTTAAAGTCGCACGACAAGCCAAAGTCGTAAAACCGCATTGTCATGGTGGAGTCCATCAAAATGTTGGACGGTTTTAAATCCCCATACACGACACCGCGTGAGTGAATGTACATAAGGCCCTCCGCGATGTCTGTGCCAAACATCTGCACTGCCTGCCTAGAAATTCGACTGTCAAGGTTCAACACCTGCCGCATGTCCCCGCCAGTGCATAACTCCGTGATGACCCACAAGTGATTGTTGGTTTCGTACCAATTGTGAAACTTGATGATACATCGGTGCTCGGCTGCGCGAAGAAATCGTACGTTTGTAAGCACGCGTTGTCTCCGGGATTTGTCGATGGAAGAGATTGCATAGTACTCAATCGTCTTCTTTCGGCGCCCTTTGTAGACGATACTAAACCGCCCTTTACCCACCTCATCGTAAATCTGGTAGTTGTTCATTCCTTGGCCACCACCAGCAGCCCACGGCCTACAGCGGCAGCGGCAGCAGAAGCAGCAGCAGCAGCAATAATCTACCTCTTCTTGTGTTCCTTTTCGCAGTTATAGTTAAAGGGGAGTGGGACTCCGCCGGATATCCTCCTCAGCCGTGCATGCAATCGTGAAATAAAAAAAAATAATAATAATAAAAATGCATCAATCGTGAATGACATGGACAGCGCCACTCCATCCGTCTGGCCATGAGCCTCCCTCCTCCCATGCACACACACACAGAGAGAGAAAGACAGCGAAACACAGACACAGAGAGATACAGGCAGACACGGTTAATCCTTTGGCTCTGGCACAGCCATGAACAGGAGGCAGCGTGATGCGAAATACACGCACACACACACACACGCACACACACACACACACACACACAGAGGAGACACATTCAAAAAAAAAAAAAAAGGAAGAAAGAAAAAAGGTGCCATTGTCAATGCACATCAGTCAAAATTTTCTTCGCTCCCCCCACCCACCCACTCACTACCTTTATCTCACCATGCAGCAATTTCTACCGTCAGACAACTCTATCCCACTCTTTCTCCCACCGCATGCACTTTTCCCTCACGCACGGAAACAAAGAGAAACCGACAGATTGACTGCAACTCCTACTGTGAGCACGCGCGGTGTCCATCAACAGGAATCGTCGCGGTGGTGTTTGGTTGCAAGTAATTTCCCCTCTCAGTCATAAAATTCTTCTTCTACGCACACTCATATCATTACGCACCTGCATCCCCCCTCAAATTAACCGTGTCTTTTAAAGGCTTGTTTGTTTGTTTGTTTTTTTTCTGTTTTATCTGCTTTTCTTCCTGTTGTTGTTTTTGTTGTTTCCCCTTCAATCATTCATTCACCCTTTCATTCCGTTATCGCAGCTCCGTTCCTTGTTTCCTTCTTCTCCCCACGTAAGTGTGGGTGTGTGTGCGCGGCATCACCTTCCGCAATCACTCACTCCCACACCCGCCCAAGTGACAGCCAACATACATACATACATACATTTATACATTTATATATATATATATATATACATGTATGTATGTATGTATCCCCCTAACTTCTTGCGCCACGCCTACCGTGCAAGATCATAACGCTGCTTCGCTCGTCGCACGACCTGTGTGAGGTAATGGTAGAAAAAGTCGACGTAGAGTACAGTCTGCAGCACTCCCGCGGATACAGAAACAACGTTCACGCGGTCAAGAACCAAGTACCGATGGATCCAGTGAAGTAAATAAAAAAATCGATACGCCCCCATGGCTGCCAAGTAGTGGGACGTGAGTGCTTCATAGCGCTCAGTGTATTCGAGTAAAAATATCTGAGGCAAAATGGCTACAGCCTCCAAATACTGCGAAAAGGCCCACAAGAAATCCATCAGCCATCCTCCGCGGGGTTTGCCGTGGAAAAGAAGTGCAAGTACAATGCAAGGAACGATGAGGTAACGAATACGAAACGTGTCATTCTCGTGATCGTACGTAGCCTTCCACGGGCTCTTGTTACGCATGAGGTAGCAGATGTGCCACGACGTTGTTAAGAAGAAGATTTTCATCAACGTATTGTACAGGGACAGAAACGAAGTGAACAGGTCGAGATAGCGTGTAGTGAAGACAAGCGCAAAAAGAAATTGTGTCTTGAGAGACAACCCAGCCGCCGACCGCTGCCGCAGCATCTTCCCTAACAGAATAATGATGGCAAGCAGGTGCAGCATGTCACCAAATGTCCTTAAATAGTTCATCGTTTCCCCTCACCCACCCTACGCCTTGGGCCCTGCTGCGCGACTTGAGATGAAACACACACACACAATAAATAAATAAAAACTCCTTTTGGAGAAAGAAATTTCGCCCAGCTATTCTTCCATTTGCAGCACACAAAGAGAGAGAAAATAATAATAATAATAAAAAAAAGAAAAGGGAAATGTATAGATGTGCACATGTGTATAAATACATATGTATATATCTTTAAATCAATGCAGCGAAAGACTTGCGATTTTTCACTTACAGCGGCATTTACGACGCTCCAGTGGGTGCATTGGCCCACAGTCACCGCCCCCGTCCCCTTTTCTCAGTACTCCCCCTCCAGAAGCAGGGAGGTGCATGCATGCGTGTGTGTGCCTGAGAAAATAGAAACGCACTCAACACAAGCCCCAGACACACATAAATTCTTCTCCCCCCCCCCCCCAAAAAAAAAAAAAAAGACGAAATCAGCGTGGAGCAGATAAATATTTGTTCATGCTCTTTCGCTGTTTTCATTCCATCATTTTTTTTCGGCTGTGGAGGACGCCTCCCTTTCTTTCCCACCAGCCGCAGAGAGTATCGGGCATACTTGACCCCTCTTTCCTCTCGCTGCTCCCTCCCGTGCCCCACGTGCGCGGCCACAACAATAACGATGCGCAGCGGCTGGCCAAGATGCGGGGTTCATTCCTTCTTGATATTTCGTGTGGGCACAAGCAGTGGATTCATCTGCGCCATGTAGATGAGAACCCACGACAGCCAGCAGCAGAAGGCGGCAGTAAAGCAGAGGATGCGGACAAGCTCCACTTGACTCTTCGCCCACAACGGTGCACTTAGCGCACCAAGACTCCCGACGGCAACAAAAAAAAGCGTCCCAAGAAAGATACCCATTCTACACCTCGCTAATAACACTTGTAAGCGGCTAGCACACCGCAAAAGCAACAGGGGGGGGGAGAAGAATATTGTCAAGAAGAAAGAGGCACAAATAATTTTAGGAAAGAAAAAAAAAGTGGAGAGTGGAAACATTGCTCAACAAAAGGCCGCCAAAAATAAGAACAAAAGACATCCCTGTTTTACTTCACAGAGAGTGAAAGACGCCCATACAAATAGATTCAGAGAACTAATTCCCCGACGGTAGTAGTTCGCAGGCCCGCTCCCACCCCTGCGACGAAGCACACTCTTGCCACATGCTGGCCGTCCCATTCGCACACGACACAAGCAGAAATGTGCCGACAAGCGACCAAGAGAGTTTTGTCACACCATCCTCCTGCTGCGGCAGTACCATGCGGTTCCATTCCCCACGCGCCGATCCGTCCTGTGACCAAACCACCACAAACCCTTCGTCCGACCCAGCTGCAATGTACGTAAAAGGCATGCCCACGCCAGGAGCCCACGCCACCTCTCGCCAAGACGCCTCCACCTCGAGCGGGAGTTCTTGTGGTCTCCATTCTTCGCCGCACAGAGTCCAGACGGTCACACTTCTATCGCCTCCGCATGTGACAATTCGTGGCGGGGCGAGAGGCATGCCAGCTGGCGGGTGCGCTCCACTCGCCGTCGATTCGCTTTCCAGTGGCGCCATAAGAAGCATGCCAGGGGGCAACGAGGGCGCCCACGACAAGGAGGAGCAGCCATTCGGGTGGGCTGTGAACTCCGTGTGGCTCCACTGCTGATCTTTTCCAACGAATATCATAACTGACCCACTTGCACAGCCAACAGCGAACATCTTCCCATACTCATGCGGTGCCCACGCCACGCACCAGGGAACGGACGCAAGAGTCGTAAAGTATACCTTCGCCCAGCCTTTTGCATTACCAAAGTCGCTCCAGAGAATCACCTGAAAGTCCTCCCCGCACGAGAGCAGCGTCGACGCATAATGCGCAGGTGGTGCCCAAGAGACACTCACAACGGTTCCCGTATGACCCTCCAACACGGCCAACAGATCCCATTTATCGGGCGACTCGTTATTTATGGCAAAGATGCGAATCACGCCATCCTCACCGCACGATGCGAGTCGCTTTCCGGCAGCGTCCACAGCAGTATCCGTAACGGGCGCCGAGTGTCCCGTATCAAATACCGCATCCAATTGCATTTTTCTAAGCCTCTTATGGGACGCAAATATAGTTTACTAAAGATATAGATATATAATGGTATATACGGGGGGAAATGAGAAACCAGAAGCGACGCTGCTCATGCAAACAAAGCCAGTTATAATATTAATCCCGACAAAAAAAAACAACTGCATCGTTGGCTTCACAATGGGTCAAAAAGAAAAAAAAAAAAAAGGGAATGTTTCGCCAAACCCAATAAAAAAAAATAAATAAAAAGGCATCAACTATACACACCACATACATATTATATTAGGGCAACAACAACCCTTCTCTTAGTCACACAGAGAGAAACAGACAAACGTAAAAGAATCATATTTTTGCTCCTGATTCCATCTTCTTTTAACCCCCCTCTAATATCATGACACCGTAAGTGACTTCTGTTGCAACCTCATCGCAGCATCCCACCGTCGTCTCGCCAAAATAACATACTTCTGCATTTGTACCCAACCACGGCCATATGTGTGCCAAACTCCCACGTCCAAGCCCACTAAGGCTGCAAAAACAACAACGGCAGCAATCACCGACCAAAAAAACTGATACGCAGGAATCAACATGCCCTCCAAAAGCCGCCACATTCCTTTAAAGACAAAATAGCACGGAATACACAGTAAAAGTAAAAACAGCCCGTAGTGCAAAAGCACATAATCGCATGAAAATGTAACAAGCGCAATATTGTGTTTACACCGTGAAAACTGTGTTGCCTCATGCCAATCCGCAAGGTAAACCCGTGTAGCCTTCACACAGATGAGTTTTGGGTGCATCTCAATGAGTGTGTTGAGAGACTGAACAGACAATTCATTCTTCCATTTACGTGGTGGATCATCCAAAGAAAATGCATCCAAAACGTCCACGTTTTTGCACGCCATCACCACCCGATGAATTGCTGTCGCATCGTCCCATCCCTCCAACGTGAGCGTGCGGAGCTGTGTGCACCTCTGCAAGTAGGGCACCAGATACAACGCCATTGGCTGGCAAAAACGAGAAAGATAAAGATATTCAACACCAGGATTCCAACGAAACAGTGGTTCCATCAACTTTGCATCCAAGGCATCAAAAGGCTCCGTGTTACAGGATGCAGGTACGATAATGCTCTTACACCCCCTTTCTGAACCAAACACCCAAATCCCACGGGAGCGGCTACGGTGAGAAGGAAGAAAGTACGCTGTGTTCACGATACAAGTAGACTGCTCTGGAAAGCCAAAAAGTGACGGATGCAACGCAGCATAACCAAGAATCGCCTGGAGATCCTTCAGGCTCCACCGGTGCAGCGGCATAACGCGGAAAAAGCCGCGGTAGATGGGCAGGTGTCTTCTCAGCGTCCGACGTTCCGAAAAAGGATTAAAGAACTTCGGCCGCCAGACCCGCGGCTCCATGGCATGACTGCTCGTCGTTGCATAAAAAAGGGAGAGAGAAAAGGAAATGTAAAACAAAAAGGTAAATAAAAGGCAACAGCACACCGCCGTAAATGTCCTAAATGAAAGAAAACAACCAACAGTCGCAGACGCAGCAACATTCGAAGAAGTAAATGTACACACAAAAAGCCGCACAAAAACTAAACCAATTCAGCTCAAATTTGGGCAGCCGCACGCTCAATTGCCCGCAAACACTCCATCACGTACGTACCGCTTCAAAGAAGCAAATGGCAAGAGACAATAATAATAAAACATGCACCCCCTCCCCCGCAGCGGAGCATCTCGATCCTGTGGCTGCCACAAGCACATTTTGATCAACAACACGACGTGGCACACACAAACAAAGGTAGAAAGTAATAATAATAATAATAATAATAATAATAATAATGCAAAAAAGCAAACGCAAACACACAAATATTGTTAAACCCTTTTCCGGTAACATTTTTCCCAAGTGTCTGCACCATTCGTTAGACGGCCCTCGTCACAAGCTCCTGGGAGGCAAAAAAAAAAAAAAAAAAAGAACGGCTACAGCCCGTTGCCGTGGTGCCAAGGTGCCAGGGAGTTCCAGTAGACTGTGAAGAACAATTTTCTCCCGCAGCCCTTCCCGCCCCCCTCACGGGAATTCAAAAGTTTGCCAGTAAGTGCCCCGAATTTTGAGCATACGCATCATCAACAGTAAGCAAAGCCTCCCAAAGAAATGGGAGCTCCCGCCTTCGTCCATAAAGCTGCACTATACAGATAAGAAGGGTGAAGAGAAAAAAAAAGAAAAAAGCAAAAAAAAAAAGTTCTCAACGGTAATCCTGTTCACGCATACTCTTCATCGACTTGATTAACGTAACTTTGCTTCACACACTCACGCACAAACAGCTAAAAATAATAATAATAATCGTTTTCGTTATTGGGGTTCACTTTCTTTTTTAGGTGAAAGAAAGGGGATTTTACTCGATCCCGTCGACATCAGCAGAGCCCAAGAGCCTTGTAGGATCCTCGTCTTTTGCTTGTGGGGTAATTTTTGCCTCCGCGTGGTGTGAAGTCTCCTCAGGAGAAAGGTCTTCACAAAGCTGGTGAACAGGGGTAGTGTGCAGACAGCTGCTGCCCGCCAGCGTCGCTGTCGGTGCCGATGCCGGTGCCGGTGGAGGGTCATCTCCCTTATCCACAAGACTCACAGTCCCTCTTGTGCAACTTTCAATTTCGTCATCGTACCCAAGCAACAGCGTTTCCATCGCCTCATACTTCTTTCCGTAGATCAGTTGGATGGGTTTTTTCCCAAACACGTTCCGTGCGGACGCATGCCACCCCCACTCCAATAGCCTTCGAGCCGCCTCGAGTTGGTTGTTGAGGGCGGCAAAATGCAGGGCCGTGTTACCCTCGTGATTCGGCACGTCCGGGGATGGACCAAACTCCATGAGCATCTCCAAAATTCCAATGTGGCCATTCGCTGCCGCGAGATGAACCGCCGTTCGTCCCTGTTCATCCTTCGCTCCAATGAGTGAGGGAGTGGCGGAGAGATACGCCAACAGCAACTTCGCATCATCACCGTCGTTGTAGCGGGCGCAATCAAAAAAAGCCTCGGTGATGGTTGTCGCCTCGCGATGATAATTGTCCTCCTCCACGGCCGTTGCCCCTGACATGATTGCGACGTCAGAGGAAAGCATCAACACAGCCGCGGAACAATGAAACTCAAGTCCGCAAAGTAGGGGTACAAAAGAAAAGAACTACGGCACCACGGGATGGAAGAAAAATAAAATAAAAAATAAAAAAAATTCTTTTTTTTTTGTTTTTTGGTGTAGTCGAGATGCGCAAAGCGACCAACACAGAGAGCAAACAAACAAACAAACCCCTCCCAAAAAATAAAAATAAAAATTTGTTTCATCTTAAAAACCGACACGCACACACACACACACACAAACACACACATAGAAAGGAATAAGAAAAAGAAAAAAAGAAAAGATCTCACAAATGTACGTAGAAAAAAGAGGGGTGTCAAAAAAACCCCCACACAAGCAGTACAGCCTTCATATCCCTTATGTATATGTATATGTTTACGCCCTTATTTTCTCTTTTTCGTTCTTTGTTTTTTTTTCCTTTCTTCTTTTTTTTTTTTCTTCTTTTTTGCTTCGTCTTATTTGGTTACTCTTCTACGTATGCATTTAGACAACTAGCTACAGCTTTGATCTTAATTGCAAGCGGGGGGGGGGAGAGAAAAGCCCAGGAGTTCAGGTCTTCGCGCCTAACACACAGACAGAAACACAGAAACACACACACACACGCTGCCAAAAATAAGGCAGGGAAGAATGCGAAAGAGAGGAAAAGAAGATGTGTGAGTGACCACACAACAGAAAAAAAAAAAAAAAAAAGAGAGAGAGAAAGATAGAAAGAAAAAGGGCTGGATGAGAAACGCAGCACGCGTGCCCCCCTCAATGCCGCCTGGAAAAATGAAGGAGACCGGTTGTGGTTCCCCCACTTTGCAAAGAATGGCTGGAAACCACACGAGGGACAAAAAAAAAGGGAAGGAGGAGGAGCACACACACAAACGAGGAACCAGAAGAACAAAACTTCCCGCACGTGAAAAGCAAAAAAAAAAAAAAAACATCTTGTCAGCCACACACACACACACACACAGAGAGAGAGACTAGAGTTGCAATCTGTGGGAGACTGACACGAAGAAGAGGAGACATCTCCTAGAAAAAGGAGTTAACAAAAAAGCCACCGTAAAGACGCACAAAAAATGGGCAACAAAAAGGAAAAGAAAAAGAGAAAAATTGAAAAAAGAAAGTGATCTATTTGTGAACATTCAACAGTAAATTGATGCGCGTTGGGGGGAACCATATATAAATGAACGTGCATGGACAATATCTCTGTTCTCTCACCGCTGATATCATAACTCATGCCGTTCTTGTTGATGTTGATAAAATTGCGACACATTTCCTTCTCAGGACTAATCTCCCTATCCTTTTCCCTTTTTTCTATTTACTTTCGCCTGTGTCTTCGCTTCATTTCCGCCCCTTCCATTTCTTCAACTGTTTCGCTATGTTTGTTTCCTTGTCTCACTCCAAGCCCGGTATTCACCATCCCCTCCCCCCTTCTATCCGCGCACCAACATAACGCCGCCTCCTCCTTCTCACCTTCCGGGTACTCCCGTTATGTTCTCCTTCCCCCCTCTCTATAAACCGCATGTCCCTCCCCTCTTCTCCCTCCTTTGCATCGTTCCCCTGTTTCCTCTCCTCGCCATTTCGCACACGCCTTCATTCGCCTCCTCCATGCTCTATTTACCTCTTCTCTTTGCTCCCTTGGCTTTCCCCTCCCTATCAGGAGTCATTCGCTTCCTCTGCCTCATTCTTACTTCGTCCGGTTCACTGCCTTTACCTCCATTTTTTTTTTCTTATTTTCCCCCTCTCCAGCTCCCGCTCTCGTCCGGATCATTTCCGCAGCATCTTCCCTAATCCTACTGGTAGAACTTTGGCTTCTTCACCGATGGTTTCAGGATCTGGAATGAGCAGAGAAGGTCCGCGTCCACCGACATGACCGCACCACTGTTATCAAACTCATTACAATAGTTGGGAGCGGAAAAAATTGTAATGAGTTGCCGTTTCGCAAAGAATTGATAGCCATCCTCCACTACTTGATGTGCACGAACGATAAGATCAAACTCATGCTTCCGAAGGAATTTCTCTACGATATCTTGACCAAATGTATAAGAGACACCACGGTCATTCTCGCCCCAGCCAGAAAGGCCTTCCTCAGGGTCTGACCACAGAAGGTCACAGATGAGACCAGCGTCAGTGACATCGCAAGGTCGTGCAATTCTCTTGATCTGATCCATCGTCTGCAGCTCGGGAGAGAGACCACCGTGACAGCAAAATATCTTGTCATCAATAATGCAGGCAACAGGGAGACAGTTAAAAGTGTCTGTGAAGGCTTTCCAGAGGCGAATGTTGTACCGCCGTTTGCATTCGTCAAAAAACCCATAAATGCGATTAATGCTGGCGCACTCATGATTGCCGCGAAGCAGAAAAAAGTTCTCCGGAAATTTCACCTTGAATGCAAGCACAAGACAGATGGTTTCCAGCCCTTGTTTCCCGCGGTCTACATAGTCGCCAAGAAAGAGATAGTTGGCGGAGGGTGGAAAGCCGCCATTGTCAAACAGGCGGAGAAGATCGTAATATTGTCCGTGGATATCCCCGCAGATTTTAATGGGAGCCTCAAGCTCCAAAAGAGCAGGCTGCGCCAAAAGGATCTCTCGGCTTCGTAGTGCAAGATTTTTAACATCATTCTCTGCTAAATTAACTTGTTTCCCCGGCTTCGACACGCGGACGCCCAACAGTTTGTCAATGATGGCATCCACGTCTAGAGACATAGCAAACGTCCGTATGTCCCCCCCTTTAGTGTGATGTGCCTTCCTGCCAACTCCAGTGTTTGCTGATTAATATATGTATATGTATAAATATAGATATATATAAAAAAATTTTCTCTTCTTGTTTCGACTGGTTTGAGTCGTCCTGCTGGTTCCCCCTTCTCGCTTGGTTTCCCCTCGCTGTTGTTGTGTGCCTACGCTCCTTCCTCTCCCCTCTCAGTCACTCTTGCACACACTGAGACAGAGAGAAAACACACGCACCGCCGACTCTCTCCTCCTCTTCCTTCCTCTGTTAGTCCCTTTGTTTTTTTTTTGTTTGTTTGTTTGTTTGTTTGTTTTTGTTTTTTGTGTGTTTGTTTGTTTGTTTTTTCCTCCCTTTTTTTTTACTTTTTTTATTTTTTAGCTCCTTCACTCCAGCCTTCACAACGTGAAGCCAAAAAGACGCTTCCAACACACGCACACCAACAATGCGGCGACTGTTTCACGCTTCCTGTTTTTCGGTAGCTTTTGTTGGCTCGATTTGTTCTTTTTTCTACCTTTCCCCTCCTTCTCCCCCTGACTCCTTTTTGTTGTTGCTGTTGTTGTTGGCGTTGTTAATCCCTCCCCTAATACAAATAAAGCAACTGGCAGAAAAAAAATACTTGCGTTATTTCCCCTCCACACACACACACACACACACACTTCTTTTCTCAGCCTATGCTTGTTTGTTCGTGGGACGAAGATACAGCAAAATAACTCCCTTTCGTTGCAAACACAACACCACCAATCAAAGAAAAGAAATTGCTACGTGGACTACGCAAGAAAGACCTGCCAACCGCAGAAGAATGACAAGAGAGAGATCGAGAATATGTGTGGTGTCATGAGATTCACTTTAGGCAAATGCCGAGAAAATCATAAAGGTAATATTGAACACACAAGTATCCCCCATTGTCTCCTTCTTGCTACTGTGGGAGGGGATTGCATCTCTTTCCCCCTTCCTCTCTCCACTCTTGTGAGTCCGTGCGTGGCAGTTGATGTTTCTCCCCTCCCCCGAGCATCGTGAGACACATCCCCCGTTGCGTGTGAAGAGACTTCTCAGGCACAGTACAGAAGGAAAAAAAAAAACACAGAAACAAGCACATGACGCAACAAAAAAAAAAAAAAAGGGAAAAGGAAAAAAAAAAGGTTGGGGCATTGATCCGCCACGCTCTGTCGCAGACACTCCCTCTCTCCCCCCAGTACCAATCGCCCACACATATGCACACTCGGGTTGAGAGACACGGGAAGAAAGGGTGGGCGAAAGGCCCATTTGCTCCCTTCAACATTTAGCCCAACTAAACAATTTCACTCACGCCGCCTATCTCCTCTCTACCCTCCTCGTCGCTCATGTCACCCGTGACGCAGCGCTCCAGCGTAACGGCAGAGGTTCCATGTAAACTCACTGCGAAACGCAGCGGCGGTGTGGGCGCAGGCCACTCGGTCTCGTAAGTCTTCACGGTGCCGCATAAGAACGTAATTTTTGCCGTGAGGCCGGGCGAAAACGACACATGCACGGTGATAATGTCATGGCTTTTGAAGCCCGTCCCTGACACGTACGTCTTCTCGGTCTCAAAGCATTGCACGAGTTCACCTGTGTTGCAGTATGCAACGGAATGTGGTTGGCCTTGTAGCGGCTCATTTTCAAACGGCTTCTCAGTGCCGATTAGACCAATTGACACCAGCTCACACTTGTCAACGCGCAAAACCAAAATGGACTTACCTCTCGTAGGTAATGGCTCATTGCCACAAATGCCGAGGATGTTCTCCGTGCTGAATAACGTGCTATCTTTCGAAACGCCTGGCCCACTCACAAAGCGCCACCGCGCTGGAGGATCGATCAAAGCGCGGAGTTTTTCAATGCGGTAAAACTCAGCATCCTCCGCCAAGAAGACGATTTTTTCGGTGGCAAGCGGCAGTTCATAGCCACGCAGATAATTTACAATGTGCCTAAAGTTCTCTGGGTCACGGTCCACAAATGGATTGCCGTTGGCGTCACGGGGGAGACCCGCAAAGTCATTACTGACCCACTCCGACAACAGCGACGGCTCCGAGCACAGTGTGCTTGCCAAGGTCGTGATGCAGCTACCGCCCACATTGATGCAAACACGCATGTCCCCGCGTGAGGAAGGGGCTGATGAGGATTGTTCACCAGATCCAGCGCCGTGGGTCCCCCCGGGCTCTCGCTCCCTCGCCAATCGGCCATCATCGCGTCCCTTCCGGAGTCGTTTCAAAGGAGCTTCTCCCTCCATATGCCTCACTTTTTCCTTCCGTGCTGCAAAAAAGCACGAAATTAAACATAAATAAAAAAAAAGGATGTGTGGTATTCCAGTACGCATGGAAAAAAGCAATTAAATAAATGAAATTGTATGGATGTACTTATGTGCAACCAAATAAAATAATAAAAACACGTTTCAGCGGTGGCTATTTCTGTGTGACTGTCAATAGGCAAGCAGTTCCTAGAGATTGCTTTGCATTCTAAAAATCATCTGCCAACTGCAGGCAATCCTCATCATTGTCAAAACCGGAAGGAATTAAAGAATCTTTAGGCAGGGTGGTAGCGGCTACGGATGTGACAGGGCCAAGACATATTTCGTGTGGCGTCTCGTGGAATACCTCCTGCAACGTATCTTGGCACATGTTAGACACATATTCCTCCCCTTGAGGTGGGAGCTCCGTAAACGGAGACGCCGACGATGTAAAACCAACAGCATGACTTTGGCTACTCTCGGGTGGTCCTTCCGGTAGCATGAGGGCGGCGAGGTGCTCCAAGCAAACAATTAACACCGGTCGCATCAAACTGGATGTGACAAGCACAGTCACATCACGGAGAAGGAGCAGTGCCCCTGCGGTCAAGACGTCGGGGTAACGGCTCGATACAGCACCGTGAATGGCGCAGTGTACCGTGCCCGTTGCATCCCGCAGCAGCACCGTACAATCCTGCGCAGATTCCGCCACGATCGTCTCCAGAAGACCACCGCAACATGCCACTTTCTGTGATGTGGGGAGCGTGCCAACCTGGCACAGCGATGTCAACGTGAGCCCCCTCGTCGATGCTTCCCGTTGGAGCAGCAACTGCGAATCCATACGCAGCACACCTGAGTCCTGCACCTGAGGGCGGGGCCCACCAACTCTTCTTTTTTATTTCGTCTTTTCTTCCTTCTCCTCGTCGCCCCTTGCCGTGCGGCCCACGACAAACCAGAAAAGGCCACGGACAGGGCTAATGAATGCTCAATGAGCACAAAACAAACAAACAAAAAAACGATAAATACAAAGACAAATACCTCCACCATCATCACCACCGCCACGCGGGGCGGTAGCTAAAAGAAGAAAGAACAAAAGTATGCGAGAGCCTTTGTTTTCCTCCGCGTCCTTCTTCTGCGGCAGTTTTTGTTCCTGTTTTTCTTCATGCAGGGCGGGTGAATCCAAAATCAAAGCCTGAGATGGATCCCCTCTCGCACTCTCCGCCCAAACAATACGCCCTCCGCACACCCCAAAAAAAGGAAAAAAAATTGGAGAAGGACCTGTCCTTTTTTTTTCTTTTTCTTTTTATTTTTCTTCCGTCCCTTCCTTTTTCTTCTTCACTTTGGTTTGTTTTATTTCCCCTCGCTTACTTTCATCTCACTTTATTCGCTTTCTTCTCGTTCTCCCGTACATACACAAAATCACATCTAACCTTACACAGTAAACTGGGTGGAGAGTGAAAAGAGGGCAGCTGCAGTAAGGGCTGCACGAACGCCGCAAAAAGTCCACCTGTTGATTGACTCATTGGTGCACAACCCGAACATTATTGTGTGCCCAAGAAGTGAAAGACCAAGCACAAATACGGGATAGAAACCCATCACAAAGCCCAGAAACGCCATTATTGTAAACAGCGCCATAAAAATGGACTCAATTGGTGAACGCGATGTCCCCACTTCCCCAGCGCGGGCAAGGTCAATAAGCTGCCTAAGTTCCTCACTTTTTATATCGGCCCTCGTGCGACGGTGCAAAATCATCTTCTGCACACGTTCCAGTGTCCACTTATCTCTCTCCTCCTGTTCATTCTGTGCAAATGCCTCTATGATGGACTTTGCGAACCACGCGACCGCGGCCACAACAATCCAATGCATAAACATCATGAGGAACGAACCACCCCTCTCTTCCAAATCAATTTCTTCGGTCCCTCGTGCCCTGGCCGCAATATTCTCACGTGCCTTTACTATTGGTGCGATAGACATCTCTACTATTCCCTTGGTGCCATGTGAACCCATCCATGCAGGGAGGATCAAAACCCTCGCCAGGGCATCACCCGCAAGACGAATGACACGTTCAATGTTGTCACCGGAGAAAAGCAAAACAAAAAAAACGGCCTGCATGTTAACCTTAATAAGCGCCTTACCAATAAATGTTGCCCCGAAAAAACTCCAGAACGGCATAAGGAACTGTCCACATGCCATCCCACATAGGTCAAAAGCCATATTGGGCCAAGCAGCAAGAAAAAGAATTGCCCAAAAACCGTATCTTTGGATTTTGTCCAGTGTCCACATCTTCATACGGTTCAGCACATCATATTTTGAGAGCTCCTCCAGCTCTGCATGTCGTTTGCCCTGTCGAGCCGCCGCGTAACTCAAGGCATAGGGCGGGATCTCCCCAATTGCGGTTCCTGCGCCCCAAATAATACACGCGGGCACAACCTTCAGCAACCGCGCCAGGGTCGGCGGAACGGTTGTAGTAACATGGGGCGTGATGCACGTAAATGTGCGATCGCGTGGACCATAAAAGCGATTCACAGGATATGTCCAAAAGTTGGTATTGCCGCAAGAATCTGCAGAAGAACAGGCAAGATAAATATGAGGAAAAAGAAAAAGCAACCCCGAGTGCATTCCTGTGCCCAAGCCAACGGAAGAAAGTATTCCAAGAACCAACCACCAGAGAGCATCGGCAAGCAAATATTCCACCTCTCGCCATGTTCCTTGACTAAAAAACGCATCCCTGCGGAGCATATCACCCTGACCTTCCTCCCACCATCCCACAAACTGAGCTTTGTTGAGATGAGAAGAGTTCTGAGGAAAAGCCGATCGCGCCTGTTGTCCAATACCCGGCTGATGACCAAGTACACGGGTATAGTAGGTCTCTAAATCTTCCGGTGAGACAAGCCCATCTCTGTCGGTATCAAGAGCATTGAAGGCATGGCCAGCAGGGGAATCGATCCAAAAAAGAGAAGTTGCAGTCATCAAGAGAAGAACAGGAACGACAACCCGAAGGACTGAAGGCGTTAAATGTGTCGTCACATAACGAGTGACGTACTTAACACACATAACAAGAGCTAACCAAAGAACCCTTAACGGCTCGCGCAGAAGGTTAATTTCTTCTCGTTCACGAGCCAAAATGGCGTCAGCGCGTTCCATTACCTATAATGTTGTCTCCACTTCCTTTCCTATGCCTTGGATAAATATAAGCTCTCTATTTTTAATCCTCCCGGCAGTAAAAAAATGAGACAAGAAAACGCTGCAATGAAGTGTCCAAGAGTCATAACAATGTCGTTCGGCAAACCCAACAGCAGCAAAGGCTTTGCCAAAGAAAAAACGATAAGTGTGATTTAACCATAAAAGTTTTCTTTCGCTTTGTTTATTCGTATGACAGCGCGTTTTCCCCTTTCCTTGTTGCTTTCAATTACGTCTCTCTCTTTCTCTCTTTTATTCTATTTAACACGGTAGCGTAGTTCTCCCATTTATAATTTTGTTATTCATTCCCCCTCCGCAGCTTTAAATGATCAATAAAAACACGGAATGGAAATGCATCCAAACTGCCCACTGACACGCCCATACTGCTAAGTGTATCATTGATTTATTTTTAGTTTTTGTTCGTTTCGTCCTGTTGCTCTCTAAAACCGAATACTCTGCGTCACCTTCGACTTGATGGCGGGCAAACCAATAAAGCCACCTTCAGGCTCAGGTTGGCATGTCCGTGTCTGGGCCTTGTGTATGCGCATGCCCTTCTCGTACTTACGCCGCTGCGCCGTGCGAGGTGTCTTGCGGTCCTTCGGGCGAGACTTGGTGAGGCCACGGTGCGTCTCAATCTTTTTGCTCGTCTTACGGCGATCCACCTCAGGTTCCACCAACTTTGGCTTCGGCCGCGACTCCTCTGTCTTTGCACGCATCAGTCGTACTTGTTCCTCCTCTAAAAGCATCTCGTAGTCACCCTCAACTCCATCCTCGCCTTCACCAAGAAGATCATCCTCACCGCTATTGGCCTCATCATCATCATCATCACCAACCACAGGGGCCTCCTCATCACTGCTATAATTTGGATTTCCTGCCACGCCATCGGCAAATGAGTGCTGACGCCTCCGAAGTCGCTCGATGAGTGAAAGTCCCTGGGTTCCCTCATCCTCCTCCTCGCCACCAGCCACAAGCTTGGCAAAGTACTGGTCCTCATCCTCGCGGTAGCCAAGTGCCGACACCATCGTCTTGCGATCAAAGGAAGAGGTTTCCTTGAGGGTTGCCGATTTCTTCGTTTGGATGCGATTCATGGTGGTCAACTCCTCCTTTTCAATTTCCTCCGCCTCCTTCATCGCCTCCAGCTGCTTGCGCCTCTTCTTCGCCTCCGTGTTCGTCGCAAGGACACCACGCTCATTGTGCTGAAGCGGACGCAGTGCATCCAGGCGAGCCGCAGCCGTTTTCTTCCCACTAAGAAGACGATTCAACGAGTACTGCAGCTTCTCCTCCAGTGGGAAGAGCTTCTCAAGGTATACACGAATCTCCACCAGGTTATCAATGACAGGGTGTCCCGAGACTTTTTTGCCCTCCGTCTTAAGAAGCAAATAAAATGTGACGTGCATGCAATAACTAAGCATCAACTGCACCTTTGTCTCCAAGAATTGGATCAGATTGCGGTCCGCATCCGAGAAGCGGCGCTGAAAAAACAACTCCTGCAAAGGCTTCGCTAATTCCTTCACCTCGGCAAGATACTGTTTCATCTCTTCTAGCATCTTAATCAGCTCGGGAGACTCCTTTTGCACAATAGACATCCGCTCCGAAGAAGAGAGGGCGGCATAATCCCGCTCCACCGCCTCAACGACGGGTGCAACGTTGAGCTCGGCGTCTGATTCTCCATTTGTTTTTCGCTTCACACCACTCGTGATGCCGCCAACGTCAAAGTCCGACTCAATCACCCTCCGCCGCATGCTCTTGTTGGCCTCCAACGCAAGGGTCTCTTCTTCCAAATGCGCACCTCTTTCATCATCATCGTCGTCGTATCCCTCCAACTTATGGGCATCCGAAGGCAGCACAGCCGCCAGTTCCGCCTGCTCATCCCTCTTCGCCTTTCCACGACGGTTGTGGATGACATCCTCTTCCTCTACATTGTATTCGTCCACGTCTAGATCGAGATCCTCGACAATCTCCTCCTCCTCCACCTCCCGCCGGGAGCGTTTCTTGAGAGAGTTTTTCTTTGGCATCAACCTCAAGGTTAGCGCGTTGTGGGGACTACGTAAAGGAAAGCCCTAACCCGCAAATAAAACCCACAAAGAAAAGAAAAGAAAAAATGTATACATAAGTTCAGAAGAAAAAAAAAGAGTTTTGTTTCAGCGAGATACGCACACGACATCTTTTTAGGCGATGCATGCGGCGGTTTGACGATACGCAAGATGTAAATGGAGAGAAAAAAGGCAAAATAGCAAGTCTCCACTTGGATTTATTGCGAAAAAAAAAAAAAAGTGAGGTTTAACCCCACAACTCTGCCGCGTCTACAGCAGGACCGTAGACACCACGACTAGAAACTCCTTGTTCCCGACACCATCGACCACGGACACGCTGCAGTTTCATATACCATCCCCAAAATTCCAAGGTCTTGAGTTCTTCAACTCTTCTTCTGTCACTGCGCATCTTTTTTGCAAAGTCAATCTTTTTTTCATTTGCATGTTCAAAAGCAACGCGCGGAGTCATTGGCATCACCGGCAGATGACGAGACTCCCTCTGAGGCTTTGGATGGTTTGCTAAAAGCTTGTGAACATCGCTAAATCCCTGGTACAGCCCTGGCTGTGGGGAGGCGGGCACCTGCCCCTGGAAGTCCGATCCTGTCCGCATGAGGTAGCGGTGACGGAAGTCCGAGACCCAAAATGAGGGCCGGGAATAGTTTTCATTCATCACAATGCGCCAATACTGTCGGTTATAGGAGTTCGTTCGTGAGCTGCTCCAGCGACGGTTGAAATGTCGAGTTTTTGGTGGGACAGGGTACGACTGAATCGTCTTTCGCTGCAGAAATAATGTAAGACGCAGCATTAGGGTAATTCCAAAGCAAACTACTACGTAACTGTCATGGTAGTAAAGAAAAATATAAAAAAAATACGTCTGTACATACAAAAAAAGCACACGCACACAAAAAAATTGCAGAACGATCTTTCTGCCAACAGTAATGCAAGTCATGCACCAGACTCTAGCTAAAAGCAGAAACAGAAAAAAAAAGCAACTTGCTTTAAAAATTATCTTCATTTTTTTTATGACAAGATGGTTCGCTCTCTCTCTCCCTCCCTCTCTCTCTATTTCCTCCTCGTCATCACTCCTCAGGTATAAAGAAAAAAACATGCCACCTGGAAGAAAGAAGACTCCATCATGCTCACGGAGGCGCAATATTCCCAACAGGAGCACGTGCACATTCATGCACTCCCACTCAAAACGATGTATCGCTCGCAGTACACGACATCAAAAGACCATCAAAACCCCAATCGAGGCTGAAGAGTAGACTTAATAGTGTTCCGTCACAGCCCACAAACTCTCTGCTGCCAAAACAAAGCCGTGGTATTCGCTTCCAGCAATATCCGCACTTTGTGTCTGCACACTCTACACCGCGCCTTTTCGTCAAAGAGGAACGGCACCCTCTCCCGCATCTGAGCCCCACGCGGTCCCTCCAATCAAAGCCCTTTTTCCGTCCGCAAAACAAAAAAAAAAAATCGGAACAATGACATTTTCTGTTGGCAACGTCCGTGAAGTCAAGAGTGGCCGAAAAAGGCCTTCAATCGAGTTTATTATGAGTCTGGCAGCCGATGTTACCGGTTCGTTTTAAAACCGTTAAAGATGCCACCCAGGAGTCTTAGTCATTGCCTTCAGCACTGGAACCATCTGGATGATTACACATCTTTCATCAACAGCCCTTTTCTCTTAAAAAAAAAAAAAAAAAAAAAAAACATAAGCAAGAACAATAAGAACGGGGGTACTTTGAGAAACGGCGTAGAATGAATAAAAGGAAAAACGCCCACGTCACTATTAAATCCATTTCCTCTGTCATTACATTAATTTCAGGGACCAATCATTTTACATATCACTTTCATACATAGAAGTCTATTCATCTCACAAGTGGGAATTTGTGTACCAGAAACTGGGCATCGAGCAACAAAAACAACCATCAACATGCAAAAAAAAAAAAAAAAAAGAAATCTTTTTTTTTACGCTCAAGAATTATTTGCCTTTTGGCTCAACGCATTGCGCGCGTGAAGTGGTTGTTGACTCATTGTTGTGTACTGCCCAGGAACCACCTGACTTGGTGTGTACATTTCCCCTGTGGCCGTGTCATCACGTGGGTGGTGAGCAGAGTGATGCATGGTGTAAGTACCATATCTAATATCAAAAATGCTTCGTTTACTGTGTTCCTTGTTCACCTCAGCTTGGTCGAAACGATTTAAATAGGAGTCTGAGTACTCCGTAGCCCAATTACCACTATGTCGCATCATGTGTCTCTGGGACAGTGACAAAACAGATTGCTCGTGTGCTGGACTCAAAGTGTGATATGTACGAGGGAGAGGGATGGTTGCAGAACGTCTATTTGTTGCAGCCGCTTCAGCAACATTGTACGGAGCGTGGTAATCGTGCGTTGTACTCATCCATTCGTTTGCCGACCAAGGCTGATATCCCTCTGGCAATGATTTCGTATTCATATCCTTCATCGTGTCCTTTAATAGCCCTTTATCCACATTTCGTCCCTGCTCCAGCATTGTCGTCGTTTTTTCCCGTCGAGCCGGACCTTCTTTTTCCACCAAATTGTAACGGCTTTTATACACTGGCAAAAAACCATCACCGCCTGGTGCATTCGGATCCCTTTTAGTCACCCAGTACGAAGAAGGATCAATGCCACTCATGTCACAGTAATCCCACGATGTTGGACGGTAGTGATTAGGCGCTGGTCCTTCTAGTGGCATGTTTTTCAAATGATCACGCTGTTTCGAAGAGTCCTCCAAGTCTTCCAAACCTTTCGAAAGGGTGTCAAGAACATCGGGATCAAAGTTGCCTTTTCCAATTGTCCGATTTTGTGTCGTTGTTGTTTCCATCAAATTAGGTTTCTTTCCACCATTGGTATCATCTTCCAAGGAGTTATTGCCGGTTTCCAAAAAGCGCATTTGGGCGGCATTCAGCTGAGGCTTGATCTCTGAGCCATCTCCTTTTAGGCGATGAAGCCCAACAAGTGTGTAATCTAGCGTCCGCGGCAAACTGGTCTTGTCTTCCGGAAAGGGAACAAGTTTCTTGTTTATCTCCATCTCAAAGGCATGAGGTTTCCTTCCAGCAACATCGTTGGGCTCGCGAGGCGGCACCTCTCCAGTGGCTCCCCAATAGGCACTGGAGGCAAACCCATCACGAATACGCGATGAAAGAAATTCCTTCACTGAACCACTGTTCGATAGGGATTTCTGGTTGTCAATTGAGTTTCCAGTCTCTGTACCACCCAAAAGTGTCTGCTCACCACCATCCACCATGATTATCTATAGTTCAATTCAAGCAAAAAAGGAAGTAAAGGAAAATGTATGGCAAGAACATGCAATCAAGCCAAAAAGCCACACAGAGAGAAATATATATATATATATATAAAGGAGGGAATTCGGTCATTGAAAACAATAATACATGTTTACACTCACTCCGTCAGATAGTATATATGTGGGGGGATAAAATAGTTTGGGAAGCTTTGTATGCGGTGTTTGGATAAAACTCTTAGTAAAGGCAAAAGACGCTTCCTTTTTTTTTTTTTTTTTTTTTTTTTTGAACCATACTCATTGGTATCGTAATTCTTGGAGTATTTGCAATTGTTCCTCGTGAAAGGCTTCCAAAGACAGTGAAATATTCTCAAACTCACGCAAAGTACGTTGTGCCTCTTTGCGGCGCCTCTGAACCTGTTCCAACTCCTGCTCTAAAACACGATTACTCTCCTTCTGCGCAGCAAATCTGTCTCGCTCTTGTCCAACTGCACTCGCAATCATGCTCATGATTCTTTCGATGGTGTCGCTTATATCTTCAGTACACTGGGTCTGGGACTGAGACTGATTTAAGAGCATTGCGCAAGGTGCGTTGGGAAAAGATGAGAAACGTAAAGTGTTTTCCTCCGTTTTTGCCACGTCACTCCTAACGCGGTGTGCCAAGTGAACCAACGGATTCGGTGGTCTGAAAGCGCCAGTGGCGATCTGTTGAGCCCACTGTTTTGTAGGGCGCAGCGTTGGCAAAACATACTGAGTCGAAGGGGCCTGTGTTGCTTTGGGCGACGTCATACAAGAGCTGTAAGAAAGGAAGAGTACTTCTGTACGCAGTGTGTTTCTGTATTTATTTCTGTGTGTGTCATGAACTGTCACAGACGCCAACGGACGCGTCTCTCACAAAAATTCTATTAAAAAAAAAAAAAAAAAAAGAATCAATCAAAAAATTATTCTTTCCTTTCCAAACAAAAATGATGGAAGGGGTTTCTCATTATTAAAGAGTGACAATTCACTTTCTTCGGTTTTCTCTTTTCCCATAAAAACAAAATGCTTTTTTTCTCACTGCTCCACACCGGACACCGTCCCTTCCACAGTTTCCTTTTCCTTCTCAGGAATATAATTTAGGCGGGAAAGCAACTCCCTAAGTCTCGATGCGGCCACTGACGCACCGGAATCTCCTTTGGTTGCCGCCCGCAGGATGGCGTCACCAAATTCCTTTTTCCTCTGGCAAATCTCGTGACAGTACTGTTCAATGGTGTCTTCAATAATGATGCGGGTAACATGCACGTGTTTTTTCTGTCCAATGCGGTAACAGCGATGAACCGCCTGTTCCTCAATAGCAGGATTCCACCATGGATCCACCACCAATACGTGGTTCGCGGCTGTAAGATTCAGACCAACACCCGTTGCAGTTTTGCTAGCAAGGATAACACGAACATCGTCACTCGCTTGAAAGCGACGAATGACGGTATTGCGATTAGTCAACGTCATTGTACCATCCAACCGCAAGTGAGAAATCTCCAATTTATCGAGAGCCACAGATATGACATCCATAAAAGAAGTAAAGTGTGAGAAAATAATCATTTTGTCATCTGGATACTCTTTTTTCATTGTGTCAATAGAATCCAATATCATTCGTAGTTTCGTGCTCATCTCCAAATCACGTTTTTTAAATTTTGCAATACGCTCTGAGGACGTAAGGGTATAACTTTTAAAAACGGAACTGTTGGTAATAGTGGTCCCACATGTAGGGCAAGGCAACCTCACAGCCATTTCTTCACCGTCAACGGCCTCACGAAAACGCAAAAGAAGACATTCGTAGCAAAAATAATGACCACATTTGGTAGTTACCGTCGACACCGCCTCACTTCTACAAATGCCGCAGACGGACACAGAGAGTGCTCTGCCTTCGCTAATCCATGGGTGACAACAGGCTTGTCGCAAACGCGTCATCATGGCAAAAATATGAAAAGCACCTTCTTTACGCTCTGAGGTCGCCAATGCCGTCCTCGAGCGGGCAAGAATACTGTTATATTGTTTCGACTCGTGGATAGAAAAGCGCTTCATCACAACATTTTCTGTTTTTGGTGGAAGCTTAACCAAAATTTCCTCCTTTCCATTACGGATCATGACAGGCCCGCGACGTAAAAAAGCAGGTTGTATTGACCGAGCGATACCCCGCTGTAAAACGGGATCATTAAGAACCTCCTCAGGGTTAAAGCCTGGAAGCAAAGGCAGACGAGGTAAGCCAACAAAATGAAGAAGATTCTGAAGATCCTCAATTGTATTGTGAAGAGGTGTAGCCGTAACGACCCATCGATGAAATCCTTGTAATTCTTTAACCGCTCGCCAACGTTGTGTGTTAGCGTGACGAATCATGTGTGCCTCATCCAAAATGATGCGCTTCCATCTGACATGAAACAAAGGTCCGGCCTCTCTTCGATTAAAGGACATATTTTTATCATCGAATATGGGTGTTAATGCAAATTGAGCAGAGCTTGTTAGTGTATCGTAGGTTGTGATCACAAAGTCATACAATTCTAACTCTGTATTTGTAATAGATTTGTTAGTCCCATGATACAAAAAAACCTTCAATCCTCGAGATGGTTTCACTTTAGCTTCAATTTCACTTTTCCATTGTAGCATAAGCGCCGCTGGAACAACAACAAGTGTTCTAAGATCCCTCGATTCAATTAATTCAAAGGATCGCTTTCGTTCATCGTACAAAAAAGCCGTTGCTCGCTTTTCATATGAAGGATGAAACTTACTAGCAAACTTAAGCCATTTATCAACCTCCTGACGAACCGAGTCCATTGATTCATCGCTTGGAGCCGCATTTTCCTCCACTTTGTTCATCAATGCTCGAAGGTCCATAGCTGGACGATTGATCCTTGAACAATTCGCAATAACGTTTATGCGTTGTAGCTGTCGAATAACTGTCAGCAAACGATAGTTAGCAGCCTTGGATTGTATTGTTTGAATATGAGTTTCATCGATTGCTTTGTTAAAATGATGAGAAGAAAGACATAGCCCAATCATCTGTACAGTTTTCCCCATTCCCAAGTGATCAGCCATGATTCCTCCAATGTGATCACGTTCTCGTTGCACCATCCAATAAACACCCTCTTTTTGAAAGGGAAGAAGCGTGGTAGCCAAATCCGGGACATCTAAAGCACCAAAGTCGTCATACTGTAAAGAAGAATAAAACCCTTGCACGGGTGCTGGGTCAGTCGTCGGAAGAGTGGCCTGTTTAACAACTCGGGAAATACATGTTATCCTTAAGAAACGGTGACTACAAACCCGCATTCGACCTACCCTCTTTTCTAAGCCTAAGTTCCACGAACAAAATTAAAATTAAAGCCATTTAATCCAATAATGGTAATAATAATAAAAATCAGATTAATATCGATAAAAATAACCAAAAACAATAATAATCAATAACCGTATTAATCAATAATAACAATAACCAATACTGATAATCATCATCATCGATAACAGTAGGAAACAATAATAATAATAATAATAACAATAATAATAGTAACACAATAAAAAAAAAAAAAGCAAGATTTTATTACTATCTTATTACTAATATTACATCACAATTGTTATTATTATTATTATTATTATTATTATTATTATTATTATTATTATTATTATTATTATTATTATTATTATTATTATTATCAGTAATACTATTATTGTCATGTTTACCATTATTAATATGATTTCTATCTTGTTTATATTATTATCATTATGTTATTACCAATGTTTTTATTATTTTGTATTATTAATATTTTTTATTATTTCTTATTATTATGTTATTGGGCCTTTTATATTACTATTAATAATAACAATAATATTTTCACGGTCTGTTATTATTGTTCTTATTATTATTATTGTCTATTGTTATTATTATTATTGTCTATTGTTATTATTGATTAATACGGTTAATGATTATTAATGTTATTATTATAACATTATAACGATAAAGATATTTAAAAAATTTGACTTTAAAAAATTCACATTAATCGTAACAACAAAAAAAAAAAGTCAGCTTGCTCATATATTCCTTATATAAATTCACAAACATAAATATGAGTAAACATAATTCAGAAAATAAGATGCAAAATAAACCGCAAAAAAAATGCAAGAAATGAAAAATAACTCTCAAAAAAGCTAAAATTAAAAAATAATTTTAATTAGCACTGTTCAACTTTGACATGTCATCATGAACTCGTTTTTTGACCAAAGAATCTGCATCATTCCTCAAGAACCTCTCAATAAAAGAACTTTCTTCTTCAGACTCTTTGGGCAACTCAATTGTACACCAAGAGTCAATTATATTTTCTTCAAAAAAAGGCTTCTTAATCAATTTTCCAGAAGAGCAAGCAACCGACACTTCATGAGACTTAGCTTGTTTGCCCCTCGACACATCGCAAACGGTGGTTATGTTTTTTCGCTGAAACTCAAGGCATTTCACCAATTTTTTAACTCCTTCCTCAGACCGAAGTTCATCTAAAATGCAAATAGAAAACCGTTTTGATTGTACTTCGCTTCCCTCATTATACAAAGTACATGTTGTCATGGTTGGATGTTTAAAAACATCCTCTTGATATACTACGGGGGCCCGCTTTTGCCGTTGAGATGCAAAAGATTGAATAAACATTGATTTTGAAAATGAAACTCCAGGGCTTTGCCATAAAGCCTGACATATATCCAGTAAATGGTGGTGACGAGAAGAAGGAGAGAGGAAAAGATAGTACCGAATAAGTTCATTGAATAGTCTCAACATAACCTCAGCAGAGAATCCTACACCCAATTTCGTTGTCGCCTCGCCCGCAAAATGCAAAACAAGTGAAGACTTTAATGCCAAAAAGAGACAAATTGCAGCAAATTCCCCAGAGGTTCCACCACAAAGAGGATACAACTCATTAAACAAATAAGTCGATTCAATATTGTTGGCATTTCCATTTATTATTCTGGTCAAATTTAAAATAAGGCATTTGCTATTTTCAATACTTTCCACAAACAGTTTCTCCGCAGTCAGAAGTTTATTTTCGGTGGGATTAGCCCAACAAGAAAATAAGCGACTAAAGGCCTTATACCATATGCGCCACAAAAAGGTATCCTTTGGAGCACAGTACCGGTTACAAACCTCTTCATTGGAAGTTTCATTAACTAAGGAAACAAAATTCAACTTTTCGTTTTGATTTAACTGCAAATGCTGATAGTTGGCACTTCTTAAAATCATCCACAAAACCCTGTCGCCTAGGCAATGTAGTTCTTGAATATTATTGAAGTATTTCCAAATAGTCTCCTGACCAAACACAGCAATTCGTGTTTTTTGTGCAATGCATTTGGCAACATACGCTTTCGTATCTAACCAACAACGCGATATTGGAATTCCCCCAACACGAGAAAAACCATTAAACCAAGCATCAAATTTAGAAACCGATATATAAACGCCACATTCGTGAAATACAAAAGTTTGTATCAGTATAGCCAATACAGTTGCTATGAATGCTCTCTTAGGAGGTTTCAAAAGAGCATTGGTACGGGCAAATGATAGTGGAACATTTTCCTCCTCGATTAATTGATAGTGATGAGCTACAGAACCCACCTGCTCCGCCAAAGAAGGCATTAAATCCTCCAAACTGTAGACCTCCATGCCACTCTTCCGCTCATTCTCCGATTCAAGCTTTGACATTCTCACAAAATATATTTTTACAAGTTGGGTAGCAAATCTACCCTGAGGCCGTGCTTGGAAATTATCTAACTCTCTTTCTTCATCCCTCAATCTTTTAAAAGGATTTGCGCTATCAAAATCAAAAAGATCAAACATAATCTAGAAGCAAAAAAACATATATATTATTATTATTATTATTTATAACAATATTGATAGTAATAAAATAAAAAGAAGTAAGAATAATCTTCCGGGCAGCTGGCCGGATCCTGAAAATCTATGGAAAACAAACAAGTTAGGAAAAGAGGTTCGTTAGTTAATTGCTTCAATGTTTTCTTTTCATTCAATATTTATGGAATTCTGTGGACCATTAGCATGGTCCTTTGCCCTCAGTTAGGATTTAAAATATTATTACTTACGAAGTGGCAGACTTTGGGGTCCTCCAACCACCAGACCCCGCCGCGTGGTGGGAATCGAAAGGGTTAGGGTGGGATGGCAAAATAAAAACAAAACACTGCGGCCTCTATCGGCTCCCCGCCCCTAAAAAGTCGCGTTCTTCCCAAAAGATTCATACGGTAGAAAGTATCATAAAGAATGCAATCATTTATTAGGATATGCACATACATTAATTAAGTTAGCCAGCTCTCCCGCGATCATTCTTTTCACAAGCTCCTAGAAAAAAAAGAAAAAAAAGCGGAGAAATACCATCCGCATAAACACAAACAACACAATTAAGAAAGACGCTTCCGAGCTGGAACGGCTTCGCCGCACCCAAAAACACCACCACGCGGCGATAGGGCGGAAGCCCCTGGCAGGCACCCTTCCTGCGTTTCGTCTTTTGTATATTGTTTTATTGATTTGCGGAGTCGTCATTTTGCTGTTTTTTTTGTTCTCGGCAGCAACGAATCAGTGCGCCGTCGCGCCCCAATCGAGCAGCAGCGTCACGGGGTTGTGCTTTGCGCTCTCTGCTGCGGCTCCGCCTCCGGGCGACGGGGCGGACGCGCACTGCGATGGCGGCCGGCGTGCGGGGAATCGTATTTGTCTTAAGGAAAATGAAAATGATTAAACGTGCTGGTTGTTATTACCATTATCTTTGCTATTTGCGCCTCCGCTTCACGGAATGGGGCTTATCGTTGCTCTTGTTTTTTTGTTTTGTTTTGTTTTGTTTTTCGTATTATTATTATTATTATTATTGTTATTTTTAGTAACTTTTATTTAGTAAATTTTGGGTGTTTTATGCTTGCAGGCCTTTTCTATACGCGCGCGGCGAAGCGGCAGGCGACAGAAACAAAGGAAAAGGGTGGTGATCTAGAGGGTGATTCTGCAACCAACGCAAATAAAAGAGAAGTTCCATTTTTTCTGCCGCAGCACTCCGTTGTTGCAAATGACTTCCCTCCAGCCAGCGACTTGGGAACTCCGGATCCACGGCAGAGGATTTCAGATGAGTTTATTTCTTCCGCAGATATTTTTGGGATTGGTGAGCCCTCAGCTGCGCTTGCTGCAAACGAAAATTACATAAGACAACCCATTTTAGATGAACAAGCCTCTTTAGAGAAAATTAAACCAGTATTACTTGGCTGGCTAGTGAGAAAGCGTCTGAGGAGTCTCTTAGGCCGTGCTTTGGTAGCGCAAATTGTTGGAATGAAAAATTCCAATGGTGTCGAAAATAAATTGGGCAGTTTAATAGAGCATAAAGAGTCTCAAAGAAGCCAATTTATCTCACGTCTTGTTTCTTTTTTAGAAACCGGTGTAATTACCAACAAGGAAGAATATTGGCAAAAGAAAATTGACAAGACATCTAAAAATGTGCCAAAAGAATCAGGGCGTCGAGCTAAAAAAGAGTCTGGAGAGGCTGGGATAAATCGTCAGTTAATAATTCAATTGTATTCATCAGATGAAAGCAAAAAAACTGAGGAAGAGTTACTTGGCTCTTTACAAGAGGCGGTAGGGATGAAAAATATTCATAGAGACAAACTGTTGAGAGTTATTACACCCGTTTTTTTATTTGAGAGAAGATCAGCATTTCTTCGTACTATTTTTGCTTTAGAAGATTTCGAGGAACGTTTTCCGCAAGTCCCGCGATTGACAGTAGGTAATGGACAGAATATGTTGAGTTCTGATCGTTCTTTCATTTCTACGTTTGGAGGTGAATACTTTCAGCTTATAGACAATGTGAATCATATTTGTGGTAATTTACGTTAGTATGATTTCCCGTTGTTATTATTTATTTATTTATTACTTATTTATTTAATTTATTTTATTTTTTTTATTTATTTATTATTACTATTATTATTTGCTTTTTGTTAAAACTATCCTGAGTCATGAGTGACGAATATAAATATTTGTACATCTTCGTCCTTTTTTTTTTTGTTTTGTTTTAAATTTATTTGATGTAACAATTTTTGAAACATCTTATTACCAACAATACATGAACTTATTTATCTATTTATTTATTGTTTTGTTTTTCTATTTATTAGAGCCTATATGAGACGATTTCTGAAAATTTATTCGGCACGGGAGGGTGCGAGAAGATGGATAGCGTTACCCTGGAAATCTTCTATTCCCCCCATAAACGATCGTTGTTGGGAAGGTATTGGGAGTTTTGTTGTTCAACAGGCTCTGACTTCAGATACAGGTCGTTTGGCGTTTGAAGAATGCTCTGTTGCCAGACAACAGCTTGAAAATATTGTTCAAGCTGCAGGATATGATGCGAATGTTTTTGTATTTGGTGGATTGGTGGTCTTGGGTCTTCTAGAAGTAGGAGGAGATGTGGATTTCGTAGGTGTGATGGACGTTGAGCCTGGAGTTGGGGAAGCAGGTGAAATTGTTTCTCGTTTATCGAGGGAAATGCGGCGTCTTGGCATGAAAAGTAGTGCGTTATCAAAAGCTCGTGTTCCTGTTATAAAGGTAGATCGAGTAAGTAAACTGCTTCCTGGTACGCCGCTTCATCACCTTTCGGCCTGTGGATTGTTTCAATTTACGCGCCAATTAAATGATAATGAAACGCAATCCTTTAAAAAACGGATGCAAGAGAATTATGCAGCCA